CACACAACGATAGGCCTCCATCATGAGTCTGGGTGATGTAGAGAGCCACATTAAAATTATTTCCTTCATCTACATCGATGATGGGATGTGCTCAGTATTTCTTTCTTCGAGGAAACGTGCACCACACCACACACCTAAACTTACCAACCACTTAGGTCGTGGAAACCTAAGAGAGATAGCCACTAGTCTTCTGGGCCCTTTGGGAATTTTTTGCATCAGCAAAAAAATATTTCTGGGTCTCTGGAAGTTGCATGTTGGTGGTCATCTGAATGTAACTTGACCCAAAAGTGACGAATGCAGTGTGAAGGTCATTCTTTTTCCCAGCATGAAAGAGAGAGAGAGAGAGAAGAAGAGAGAAATAGAAACGGGAGAGAGAGAAATGGTTATATCTTGAAACAGATCTTTACACTTATTAATCATTTTTCTGAATGTTCTTCTGATGGATAATCAATAGAACTGAAAACACCTAAATCTTAAACTTTTTATTTAATATAACCTGTTTGGGTAAATTAAACTATTTCCTAACAGGTCTTTTTCTAATGTGTTTTCACAAGTTGAAGCTTCAAAAGCAGCTGAATGCTAACAAACCAGATTCACATGAATTAAGCAGATGGCAGTTGACAAATTCTTATGCTTAAATTGATTAAAAAAATAAGATATAAACCTCTGGAACATCTGTCTAAATTATTCACGTATAGTAAGGATTTGCTGTATTAACAGCTACAATCCTGAAGCATTTCATATGAATTGACATGAAAGATATGAAATGATATAAGCTTCTTTCCTTGGAAGTGATTTACAAGAAATGTAGCACACAGGTAGGGATTGCACAATGCTAGCTTTTATCACTCCTTACAAAGAAATTCCTGCTCTCACAGTCATCTTTGCGCTTTTGCGATCAACAAAATCAATAGCGAAAGTCAATTAAGATATATTTGGCATACAACAGTCATCGCAGTTGTATATGAAGTTACTACTAATGGGTATGATATAACTAAGTTTTCATTGAAGGCTGAGATTTGAGTCCTTTCTAGATTTACTGCCTATTCCAGAAAATTATTCAGTTAGAAGGACAGTGTAGTTTCACTGACAGGGAGGCCTTAGTATGCTGGAGAATAGGGCTGCACGATAAATCGCATGCGATATTTAACGCTCATCTTGTCAGTAAAGCCAGTTCTTTAATCAGCGTAAATCTCCATCACCTGTGGGCTTTCACATGGAGCAGCATTAACTACACAGAGCCGTTGTTCACTGACAAGCTGCGCAAAACCACAATCATATTCTGCGCATGTTTTGCGCAGCTTGTCAGTGAACAATGGCTCTATGTAGTTAATGCTGCTCCGTGTGAAAGCCCGCAGGTGATGGAGATTTACCGCTGATTACAGAATGGCTTTACTGACAAGATGCGCGTTAAATATCGCATGCGATTTATCGTGCAGCCCTACTGGAGAACAATACCTTAAAGGGTTAGTTCACCCAAAAATGAAAATTCTTTCATTAATTACCTAATGTCGTTTCAAACCCGTAAGACCTTCGTTCATCTTCGGAACACAAATTAAGATATTTTTGATGGAATCTGAGAGCTGTCTGACCCTGCATAGACCGCAACGCAACTGAAATGTTCCCAAGTCCAGAAACAAGCAAGGAGATCGGTAAAATAATCCATGTGACATCAGTGGTTCATCCGACTTGGGAACATTTCAGTTGCGTTCCTGTCTATGCAGGGTCAGACAGCTCTCAGATTCCGTCAAAAATATCTTAATTTGTGTTCCGAAGATGAACGAAGGTCTTACGGGTTTGAAACGACATGAGGGTGAGTAATTAACGACAGAATGTTAATTTTGGGTGAACTATCCCTTTAAGGCAATTAGTGCCATAAATACATGAAACTCGATGAATGCAACACAATAGAAAGGCTGTGCTGGGTGACCAGGGAACCTGGATAATCTGTTTTGGTCATGTTTGCAGCTCCTTTGTGGTGGAGAAGGAGCCATGCATGCCTACACACCCTCAGAAACCTCTAATCATCAAAACACAGGTGCAGTTTACCACCAAGGTCAGGTATGAACCACAGCTTCCACCAAACTCCTCATGTAAACAAGTCTACTTTCACAAGGAGTTGACTGCCTTTAGTCCAACACAATTATTGCCCATTTAATTTCACTTTTTTTCTTTTCAGATTACTGGTTAAGTTACCTGAGGTGGATTATCAACTCAAAGTCAAGACAACATTTGATAAGTATGTTCCCCGAATTATGTCTACATTTTATCTTTGTAACCTGGGCCATTCATGTTATGCAATACATTTGCAATAATTACAATAATGTGCAATACATCAACCATTATTAAACTTTTAACTTATTAAAAATAAATATTATTGTGATGTAATATGAGGAAGCGTGTAAAATTGTAAAGCATATTTATTTATTTATATATATAAAATGCAATATTTGATTGAAAGTCTTACTGTTGTCTTGGTCAAGAAGACACATTAGCTCTCCTGGCAGCTGGCATTGCTTGCAAGTCAAATTGTTGCTTTGTTACAGCAGGTATGTGATGTCATTTAACGAAGAGAGATCATCTGAGTGTAACTTGACCCAAAAGTGACGTATGCAGCCTGAAGGTCATTCAAGTTGTTTTAAACATGAAATTGAAAGAGAGAAAAAGATATATCTTGAAACAAATCTTTGCATTTCTTTATAATATTTCTGTTAGTATAAAGAAAAAAGAGCAATCCTCTAGTATAATCTGTATAATTTCAGTATAATCTGTTTTCACACCAAATGAACACTATCAGAACAATTAGTGAACATGCAGTTGAAGTGTTAAATAACATTTAAAAAAATGTTTCCTTACCAAAGCAGGATTATTCCTGTACAACCTTTATGTAGGTTCCACATGCTCCAGACCAGCATACTCTTAAATTACAGTTAGAATGTGTCATTTTGATAATTTCATCTACTTCGTTTTACCTTTTTAAATTATCGTGCAAACAAACTTACAAGGGTTTGTTGTGGGCAAGACACAAGATCTCTCTTCGGGTAGTTGCCAAACAATGGACAATATTATGAGTGTAAGTGTAACCATGCCAATTATTTCTCACTGACAAATGTTTCTCGATGTTTTGAAATGTTTCTCAATCCTGCCCCGTCTGCCCTGTCCTGTGGGTTTCCCACCCAACCCTGCCTCCACTCCCACTCCCAAACAGTTCACATTCTTGATCTCTTCCCTGTCCAACACCAGTGTTTTTTTTAGTATCCATGATACTGTTATAGTTTTTGTTAATATTTTGAATTAGATTTTATTTTTATATTGTCACTTTAATTTCAGTTAAAGTTTTAGTAATTTTTTGTAATTTTTATTAGCTTCCATTTTGTTATCAGTAATTTTTATTTATTCATATTAGTTTATTTAGTCCAACTAGTTCAAACAAAATAATATAAAGTTTTTATATTTAGTTTCAGTTAATGCTTTTGTTTGAAGTAGCACATTTTTTTTTTTTTCGGTTTTAGTTAATGATAATAACCCTGTCCACCAGACCAGATTTTACACATCAGCTCATTGGGGGGCTGTGGGGTGCAAGGAGCAAGATTGAGAAACACTTTTAACATTTCTATACTTACAATTTGTTTTTTGTTTTGTTTTGTTATTACTTTTCAATTTATTATTTTTATTAAAATAAAATTGTATTAAAAATCCATTATGATATTTGTTCTTGAATAATGAACAATTCTTAATTAAATAACATTAAATTCTATTTAATGTTATTTATTTATTTTTAGAATATATAAAAATAGGAAAATCATGAGATGTGTTTAACAATGAAAAATTATATCAAACTGTAAACCTCTGCCATATTCCAAAGGGTTTTTTGAGTTTGTTGCTGTGCAAATGGCAATATATAGTCCAACACATTTCCCAGAGCCTGAATAAATAGGACTTCCACTATCTCCCTTTTTGCCTGCTTTAGAAATAACAAATTCATTGGCCATCATTTGCTTTTTCATATTAGAATTTGGTACTTTCGTACAACAGTACTTTCTTACAAAACACCCTGACTCTAATGTATAAAAATATAGCACTTCATTTTTATGTAACTTGCCTATTTCTGATTTTATATTCTGTAATGGGTCGAAACATCCTTGTAATTCAATTAAAGCAATATCGTCGTTTAACGGTATGGGACAGTTTTCTGGGAAGACTCTATGGCCATTATATATTAAACAATATTCGTGAGTTGGGAAAAGGACATAAATATAGATTTTTTCGAAACCTTCTACAACATGTTTGGCTGTTATTATAGTGCCAGACCTGTAATAGAATCCTAGTCCTCTGCTGATCCAACCTTCCTCAATATCTGACGACCAAACTAAAATGTAACAGGGAAACCTGTCTGATAAATATCTGTCATTACTAGACATAATCTCACCATTTTCAATAACTAGTGGACCAGGTATAGATTTCAGCCTTTTTAAACTATCGACTAATGTTTTATCAAAACAAAAAGATGACTTAAAAAATGGTATTTTTAATTCATCCCCATAATTAGTTTTTTTTCTATTAATCAATAATAATCCAATTTCACACATTTTTGAAAAAGTAATTCTAATAATATTGTCCATTGTTTATAGCAGGTCTGAGAAAACAAAACATACTTTATGTTATTAGGCCATACTGAAGTGTTGACAATACATATATAGACTTAATTATGATGTATAATAAATATTTGTTTGTTGTCTGGTTATTAAAGTTGTCTTTTCCATAGAAGGACTGCAGTTAATATTAAACACCACTTATTATAAATCATTATCTGTTTTATATGTGTATATATATATCCATCCTAAAAAAATATAACAATGTAAATAAAGTTCTTGCTTAATTCACTAAAACAGAACAAAATGAATATTCTCCAAAAGTTGTAATAGATACAGAGGCGATCCTCCCTATACACAAAATAGCAAGCTGCATAGGGCCCCCGAAGAACCAGGGGGCCCTCTTGCTCTCAAAGATTATTTAGTTTTAGTTTCGTTTTTGAATTTGGCCAGCGGTAATGAAAACATGAACGATCATTTCTTTTAATGGGTGCCCTGTCGCCCTTTCTATGTATAAATCAGTCAAATCATGTAATGTGAATGTCCTACAGTCTTGCTCGAGACTAAAATACGAGTTGAAAGCGTACCGAGCCGCGGAAGAGACACTGTTTCTCAAGTGCTTTCCGCCAGCGCGATTCGAGACGGAGTGAAACACAGACAAATGCGTTTCATTCATTCGTTCATAACCACTCATACCCCATTCCACCGCCCAGTTTTGCGTAGGGCCCCCAGATATCTAGGATCGACACCGGATAGATAAGTAATAGATTCAAAACCTTACCTTCAGTGTAGGCAACTACAAAGATCACCTGGGATGTTTCTGTGATTTATAGAAGATCTGAGCCAATCATTCTTCATGGGAGTTTCTTTGGGAGTGGAAATGAGTAATGTGAAACCTATGATTATACTGAGGTGAGAGAATGAGGAAGTTTTACAGAATAAGAAGTGAAAAAATGAAGAGCTATTTCTACAAGACCTGACCCTTAAAAATGTATTAGTTGGTCTAGCATAATCAGGCTGATTTAGTCTTATTAAATAACATGTATTTTAATATTATTTTCAAAAATTAATTGGTCTAATTTAGAACATTAATTTAAAACATTTTACTGTAACTGGATAGTGTACATTATAATGTTACGTTTAGTTGATTATTTTTGTTATTATTATTATTTTAAATAACAGCAACAAAAACATGAACAAACACTGAACGATTGTCTTTTTATTAACTAACATTAACACAGATTGCAAGGTTTATGCCATAGTTCAAGTCTTCTTCTCCGTTTTTAGTGTATCTGTGTGGCAGAATTACAGAGCCACATACTAGTCTGGCATGTGTACTATAAACTTATGTAAAATAAACTTTTTATTAGACATTATCAAATCAGGTTATGGATATTTTATATAAAATGATAATCCTTAATACATGTGTTTCAAGCATGCAACGCATCAAGGAATATTAGGAACACTAAAAATCCAGACATGATGGAAGACGAGGCGCGTTCTCATGACAGCCGACAGGCACGCATGTGCAGCAAATCATCCGCTCTTATACACAGTGGCAATATTTCAGTAAAACAGTAGCAATATTTCATTTACATTTAGTCATTTAGCAGACGCTTTTATCCAAAGCGACTTACAAATGAGGACAATAAAAGCAGTCAAAACTAACAAAAGAGCAACAATATATAAGTGCAAATGACAAGTCTCGGTTAGCCTAACATAAACCATAAAATAAAACAAATCAGTAGATCAAATGTTTGATATCAACATTGTGTAAACGCTTTCTGAAAACAGTTTTGTGGACGTTCTATAGCGCTCTGTGATGATAAGATTAAAATAGCTATGATTTTGATGGCTTTATTGATTGTTTTGATTGTATTTCTAACCAGCAATTTACACATCAGTGAATGATTAGGCTAAAGTAATAATGTAATATGTTAATGTATTATCTTAAACTGCAATTTAGGATATTCGGTATTCTGTAATTGTGATTTAGTTAGAATTGATTTTAAAACTATTTTTCATTTAAGATTTCATTTAGGAATTAATGTTTTGGTTGAAAACTACGTTATCGATTGATTGATTGATTGTCCCCTATCTAGGTCCTGTATTGGAAAAACAGAGAACCCCGTTTTGAAGTGCTGGAGGTGTGCAGTTCGTGAAGTAACCACAAGGTGGCGGTGTAAACCTGTGGCTGAGTCAGATTCTTATTCACAGCTGTTTCATGCACGCTCTCTAGACTGTAGCATCTCTGCATTTACTCCCCCATGTGCGTGCAACTGACGCTTATGAAAGCACCTGTTTTTTATTAGAGCGGTAATCCAACTCCAGTCCCTCT